AGGAGTGCCTTCAAGCACTACAAGCTTCTGAAACTTGCCATGGGAGAAGAGAAGATGCCTGAGGAAGGAGAGACCTGCGACCGATGGATTGAGAGGCGTGTGATATTGTATGACCTCATTCTGCAATCGGTCAACAACGACATGTTTCAGCACATCAAGGATTTGGTGGAGTTGGATGATTCGGGACCGAAGGCGTGAAAGCTACTACGCGACGTGATTCAGCCCAACACGCTGCCGATGGTGATTGTGTTGGAAAAGGAGTTGGCTGCCCTCTCCATGCGACCGGACGATGATGTGAAACCGGTCCTTGACAAGATGGACACCTATGCGAGGACGGCAACGGCGTGCAGTAAGGTGTCGCAGAAGCAGCAGCGCACCAAGATCATCTTGCTGCTTGACAGCTCGTGGGACAACCTTATCCCCACCCTCAACACCCAGCAGGATCAGTGGACACATGAGTGGCTACAGCAGCAGATTCTGTAGGAGGACTTCCGCAGGCGCCACACGGGAGGTGGTGCTGCCAACAAAACTGCTGAGGGGTATGGAGTTGTAGGAGGAAGCAGAAGAAGAGGGGGTGGGAGAGGTCGAGGGCGTGGGAAAGGCTTTGGTAGAGGGAGAGGCCGAGGTGACTATAATGAGGGGCATGGGAGGTCTGGTGGCACGGGGAGCACCCAAAAGGAGGGAGTCTGCTGCTACTGCAAGAAGCTTGGACATCCATGGTTCAAGTGTTTCAGCCAGCCTAAGGGATGGGCACCTCCAGGCACGAAGCTGCGAAGTGGTGAACGCGCACAAGGTGGCGCTGTGTAAGGTTCAGGTGCAGGTGCACATGGTAAAGCCTCTCTTGGGATGTGAAAGGGAGTGGGAATGATGTGGGTTCGGTTGGGAAGGTTGTGATGCACTCGATAGACTCAGGTTGCACAAGTCACATGACCCTACGAGCAGATTTGCTTGATGAGGTAAAACCCCCTGGGAAGATTACGTTTGTGGCTGCCGCTTCAGGTGCTTTGCTCCCGGTGATTGGTGTTGGCAATGCCAAGGTAATGAGAGCTAATTGGTAGCTTGTGGGGCTTGGGAATGTGTTGCTGGTTGAAGGTTTGCCCGCTAACTTTCTTTCTGTGTGTCAGCTGCATATGTGAGAGTACGACGGCTTATGCCAGCTATGCTTGCTTGCCTCTACTTTATCATGCTATTTCTAGCATAGGATAATCATATGCATGCATGAATTGCTTGATTTCCTAGGCTAGGTGCTTTCCTATATTTTATTATAGTTATAGCACCGAGCTAGGTTGCATGCACCGAATTCTGGCTTTTCGGTTGCCACCGAATTGCCTTCTACCGAATTCGGTAAGGATCTGTTCGGGACGCTTCGCGACCCGCGGAACCTTCGCGTAACACCTGGTTACGGGGCCTTGTGTCGAGCCTATATATAGCCTCGTGTTGTACCCAGGTGGACATTCAATTCAATTTGAATCATCTTTTCTGAGCTCGATCCCAGATCTTCACACTTGGTAATCACAGCGGGTTTACACGCGAGGTCGTCAACCGCTTAGTTCCGGCCTTTAAAAACCGCGGGGGCGACGACGAAAGCGCCGATACGGGTATGTAAAACCAGTTCCGCGCAATTTTTCTAAGTCCCCCTAGATTCGGTTTTCGAACACCCCTCAGATTTACTGGTGAAAAGGTTGGAGTTTTGACCGTTCGATCGAGTTTCATCTCAACGGCCCAGAGAATTTCGCCCAAAAAAGTTGGAATTTGGAGCGTCGGATCGATTTTCTCCTTCCACGGCCAAGATCGGACGCGAATTTTGCCTAAGGGAGATTTACGCAACCTACAAAATTCGCGCTCGTCGATTCTACAGTCAATTTGACTTGCAGTAAGTCGACTAGCACCTAGAATTCAATTATTTTTGTCGCGCATCTTCCTGTAAATCACCAAATGGAGGGCCAAGGCGACAACTACGCGACTACGAGCGACATCGCGAGCCTCCGCACCGACATGGAGCAGACGCAGGCGACGCTTCGTCGACTCGAGGCTTTTTTGACAAGCCAACCAGGGTTCGCCACAGCAGCAGTGGCGACACCGACATTTCACGGACCAATGGCACCACTGTCGCCGAACCTCGAAGCAGCACGACCGAGGCTCCCGGAGGCGTTCGATCCAAGCGCAAAGGGATCAGACGTCCGGCGATTCGTGGCCACCCTCGAAATTTACTTCGAGGCCATTGGCTGTTCGACCCCGCAACACGACGCAACAACGATTCGGCTCGCAGCAACACTGTTACGTGGACCGGCTCTCGAATAGATTTACTACACCGACGTAGCCCGCGGGGAGAAAACGTGGCAGCAGTTTCGGGCAGATTTAATCGAGCGTTTTGAACCAATTAATACAACCTACATGGCGCGGCAGCAGATACACCGACACAAGCAATACAGTAGTGTAACACAGTACACGCAGCAGATGGAGTTACTGTTCAACCGCATCACCGACCTGACCGAAGGCGAAAAAATCCAGGCGTACACCGAAGGATTAAAAATGGAGATTCGGCGGCAGGTGATTGCGGCGAATTACAACAGCTACAGAGACATCGTGCGTGCTGCCGAGCGATACGACGCGCTGACTCGAAGTCAACCCGAAACACGACGCTTCACGCCGAACCGTACATTCGGCACGGAGCGATCGGCACCCCCCACGTTCACCGAACCGATGGATATCGACAAATACGACGCGAAGCAGCAGCCGACAAAATGCGAATTTTGCGGCGCAGCAAGACATCAGTTTTTGTCGTGCTACAAAATGAAGAAAGCACGTGCGGCACTCCGGGACGGAAACAGTGGAGCACCCCCGAAGTCAAAAAACGGGAATCGCCAGTAGCCGCGGATCGACCTGGCGATCGCGTAAAGATCCGAAAAGCAGGAAAAGGCGACGACGTGGCGACTTCGGAGCGGGTGAAAAAAGGAGAAAATGATGGCGCGAATTTAAAACGTCACGACCGGCCGGCATCAGGGGAAATCGCCGAGGCGAATGGAGGCTCCGCGAAAAAAGACTCTGCACCGACCGGGAAACTCCAGCCGAACACCCACAAAAGTAAGAATTTGTTAAAAGTATCCTATAAAGATGCTCTAACGAAGATTATTGCTTCTCGTGGTTTACAAGCCTTCAAAAAATTCAGGGGAGGTCTAGAGGCCAAGAAAAAGCCTTTAGAAATTATTCAGGTACCTGAGAAGTTGGGCAAAATACTACGGAGCGTAGAGAAGGGTCGTGCGTTCCGTGGAGTTAATATTCTCTCCCCGCAGCACAGTATTAAGGCTCCCCGTCGCCCACAGGTGAAGCCTACACAGCTGCCAAGGCTTAGAGGAGACATCCAAGCTCAGGAAAAATTATACAAGCCTCGGAAAAATCCTCCTACCCCCCAGGTGAAGTTGGAAAGCGCAAAGTCAGGTATAGGAAAAAGGGAAGGTATTAAGTTCGATGTACCCTATGATCCTATTAACGAGACCCTCTTTGGCTACTCAGCACAGCAGAAACCACTACTCCTCGAGGTGTTATGCAATGGGCGACGCCTCCAGGCACTGGTGGACAGCGGTGCATCTCACTCGGTGTGTGACCGCGGAGCATTGGAGAAAATTGGAGAGAAGGCGGAAGAGACCCAGTTTTCAGCAACCATGGTGGACGGTACGAAGCTTCCTATCCACGGCGAAGCATCACTGCAACTGCATATAGGTGCGTTGAAGTGGAAGCCGAAGCTACCAGTCACCAACATCAAAGGATTAGATTTTATCTTGGGGCGAGATTTCCTGAAGCAGTTCAACCCCGAGATCGATTGGGTCAACAGCAAGGTGTGCATCTACAACAACGGGAAACGAGTGGAGCTGCGAAGCTGGACGGATACAGGGGACATACCTGAAACGACACTGGCACGGTTCGAACAGACGGTGAACAAGAGTAACACGGGTTACCTAGCACTGGTTATGGCAGCAGCAGAGGAGGAGAAGCCGAGTTCCGAGCTACCTGCAGCAGTGAAAGAGGTCTTGGAGCAGTACAAGGATATAATGCCCGACAACCTACCTGCAGGCGTACCTCCAGCACGCACCCACGAGCACGAGATCGTGGAGGAACCAGGTGCGAAACCCGTCTCACGTGCACCATACCGACTGAGTCCGACTTCTCAGAATCTTAAGCAAAGGTAGGCTTAGAAGCCATAGTTTAGGTGCCTAGGTGATCGAGTTCGAGAGAGTTAGGAAAGTATCGAGAGGTTTGGAAGAGGAGAAGTGGTTTCACTAGGAAGGGTTGGGATACAAGTACAATGCCCTAAATTGGGTTGTACTCATTACAGAGTACCCCACTGCAGGCTAGACAACAAATATATTCTGACACACCCCCATAGCCAAAGTGGGGAGTAATCAGCAGAGCAGGCAGAGCAGTACAAGCTCAGGGTGGATCACAATGTCACCACACATTCTGAGCACAAGTTCAAGAAGCAATAGTTAAAGTGCACAATTATCAGCAAAGCTAGTGGTAGTCACAACGGGCAAGTGAGGAGGAGGAGGGAGAGTGAGAGGAGAGGAGATAGAAGGTGGCGGCTGAAGCTGCAGACACACGGGCAACAGGAGTGGCGAGCACAGTGGCTACCGGACTAAGCGCCCGGACTACAGGAGTAACAGGCCCCGCGGCTCAAGTAGCGGCAGACGGGCAACGGACCCTCGGGCGACTGGCGCAGCAACAAACTCACTGGGCTACCGGACTAAGCGCCCGGACTACAGGTGCTGCGGACAACAGACTGGCAACCTCCGCTCATCCTCCCGCACACAGTCCCACCCCCCGACACACACCCGCTGCTATACCGCTAGCTCCACTCCCACCCACCCCCCCTTAAACCCTAAACCCCAGTCTCCCACACATCCACCCCCCTCAGCGAGAGCTGTAGCAGTGGGAGACGAAGGAGGAGGAGGAGGAGGGGACGGCATGCACAACTGACACCCCCACAACTAGCACCCCAACACTCACCCCCCACGGCTGCACCTGGTCCATGAGCGGCTGCTGCAGGGGCCAGGGGCGGCTGCTGCTGGTGCGGCTGCTCCAGTGGCTGCCGCTGCTGGGGCTGCTGCTGGGGCGGCTGCTGCTGCTGCTGCTCCACGTGCTGCTGCTGGTGGGGTGGCTGCTGCAGTAGCAACGGCTCCAGGGGCTGCTGCTGCTGGGGTGGCCGCTTCAGAGGCAGCTGCTGCTGGGGCGGCTGCTCCAGTGGCTGCTGCTGGGGCGGCTGCTCCCGGGGCTGCTGCTGCTGGGGCGGCTGCTCCCGGGGCTGCTGCTGCTGGAGCGGCTCCAGGGGCTGCTGCTGCTGGGGCGGCTGCTCCACAAGCTGCTGCTGCTGGGGCGGCTGCTCCACAAGCTGCTGCTGCTGGGGTGGTCGCTCCAGAGGCAGCAGCTGCTGGGGCGGCTGCTCCCGGGGCTGCTGCTACTGGGGCGGCCCCAGGGGCTGCTGCTGGGGCGGCGGCTCCTGGAGCTGCTGCTGCTGCGGTGGCCGTTTCAGGGGCTGCAGCTGCTGGGGCTGCTGCTGCTGCTGCTGCTGGTGGGGTGGCTGCTGCAGTAGCAGTGGCTCCAGGGGCTGCTGCTGCTGGGGTGGCCGCTTCAGAGGCAGCTGCTGCTGGGGCGGCTGCTCCAGTGGCTGCTGCTGGGGCGGCTGCTCCCGGGGCTGCTGCTGCTGGGGCGGCTGCTCCCGGGGCTGCTGCTGCTGGGGCGGCTCTAGGGGCTGCTGCTGCTGGGGCGGCTGCTCCCGGGGCTGCTGCTGCTGGGGCGGCTGCTCCACAAGCTGCTGCTGCTGGGGTGGCCGCTCCAGAGGCAGCAGCTGCTGGGGCGGCTGCTCCCGGGGCTGCTGCTACTGGGGCGGCCCCAGGGGCTGCTGCTGGGGCGGCGGCTCCTGGAGCTGCTGCTGCTGCGGTGGCCGTTTCAGGGGCTGCAGCTGCTGGGGCTGCTGCAGCGGAAAGTAGGACGGAGGGGAGGGGAAGGGCGCGGCCCCCATTGTGCCCTGAAGGGTGACGTGCTAGGGAGCCGCGCAGGTCCCCGAAAGTGCCGCGACGGGCGACGAGAGGGGACCGCGCGCAGGCCCCTAAGGCGCCGCGACGAGGCAACGGGAGGGGCCGGCTCGCGAGCCCAGAAAGTGCCGCGACGAGGCGACGGGAGGGACCTGTGTGCGGGCCCCCAAAACGCCGCGACGAGGCGACGGTCGGGGCCAGCGCGCGGGCTCCCAAGACGCCGCGACGAGGTAGGTACCCGCCGCGCGCTTTGGGGCGCACGGCGGGCAGAAAACCGCCACGCGCCCCGAGCGCGTGGCGGGAAGAAAAAAAGGTGGTCGTGCGCCACGAGGCGCACGACACACAATAGGGCAGCGGAATCGAGTGGGCCCATAGGCCAGGAGCGTTAAGCTCTAATACCATCTCAGAATCTTAAGCAAAGGTAGGCTAAGAAGCCATAGTTTAGGTGCCTAGGTGATCGAGTTCGAGACAGTTAGGAAAGTATCGAGAGGTTTGGAAGAGGAGAAGTGGTTTCACTAGGAAGGGTTGGGATACAAGTACAATGCCCTAAATTGGGTTGTACTCATTACAGAGTACCCCACTGCAGGCTAGACAGCAAATATATTCTGACACGACTGAACTGACAGACATGAAAAAACAGATAGAGTATCTATTGGACAGACAACTGATCCGCCCATCCACCTCTCCCTACGGCGCACCAGTTCTCTTCACTCCAAAACCAGACGGCAGTCTACGGATGTGCATCGACTACCGCGCACTGAACAAACAGACAGTAAAAAACAAATATCCCATACCGCGCATAGACGACCTACTCGATCAACTGCGTGGAGCAACAGTATTTTCGAAGCTGGACCTACGATCGGGCTACTGGCAGATCAAGATGGCAGACAACTCCGTCCACAAGACAGCGTTCCGTACCAGATACGGCTCCTACAAATACTTGGTGATGCCGTTCGGACTCTGGAACGCACCAGCAACGTTTCAGGCGGAGATGAATCACATCTTACGACCCGTGCTGGACGAATGCGTGGTGGTGTACCTGGACGACATTCTCATCTACTCCAAGAACATGAAGGAGCACGTGGAGCATCTGCGTAAGGTGTTCGAGATCCTGCGGAAAAACAAGTTCTACGTGAAGCTGTCAAAGAGCGACTTCGCCCTGAAGAAGGTGCAGTTTCTCGGGCACATGGTGAGTGCCGAGGGCGTACACGTGGACCCACGGAAGATCGAAGCCGTCAAGAAGTGGAAAGTACCAGAGAACGTGAAGGAGTTTCAGCAGTTCCTAGGCTTCACCAACTACTACAACAGGTTCATGCCGCAGTACGCTAAGATAGCAGCGCCACTGACCGACCTACTGAAAAAGGATACGCCCTACAAATGGGATACCCTTCATCAGCAAGCCATGGAGCAGCTACAGACAGCACTGACTACAGCGCCAGTACTCATCTTGCCGGATCCAGACAAGGACTACGTGGTGGAAGCAGACGCTAGTGACCAAGCAGTCGGAGCAGTACTTATGCAGGATCACGGACGCGGTTTGCAGCCCATCGCCTACCTCAATAAGAAGCTACACGGAGCAGAACTAAACTACCCCATTCACGACAAGGAAGCCTTAGCGATAGTCATAGCCTTCAAGGCGTAGAGGTGTTACCTAGAGGGAGCCAAGACTACAGTCTATACTGACCACTGCAGTCTCAAATACCTGAAGTCACAGCGGACACTCTCACGACGACAGGTGCGGTGGGTGGACTTCCTGGAAACTCACTTCCACTACGACATCGTCTACAAGCCCGGGCTACACAACAAGGCAGACGCGTTGAGCCGCCCCGGACATGTAGCAGGCATCCAGCTCGACGGGATGAACCCTCTACTCAAGGGTCTATTCCAACATGGGTACTCCGTGGACGCAGAGATTGCTACATCACAGACCAAGAAGCTATTACAGTGGGAGAAAGACTTAGCTGTAAGGAAGGGTTCAGGAAAGATTTGGGTACCAAATTACGCCCCGCTACGGCAGATCCTATTGGAGGAGTTTCACGACGTACCTTACGCGGGACATTTCGGGAGCAACAAGGCGTTAGCAGGGATAGCGAAGTATTATTACTGGCCCGGGATGGCAGCAGACGTGCAGCAGTTCGTCACCTCTTGCGACACGTGCCAGCGGATGAAGAGCAGCAAGCAGAAAAAAGCAGGGTTACTTCAGCCTCTACCCGTACCGGAGCAGCCATGGCAGGTCGTTAGCCTCGACTTCATCACAGGGCTTCCTTCGACCTCACGGGGACATGATTCCATCCTCGTGGTGATCGATAATTTCTCCAAAATGGGTCACTTCATACCGACCAACGCCACAGCTACAGCTGAAGCAACTGCTCGACTCTTCTTCGACAGCATCATCACCATCCACGGCATCCCCGTTACACTCATCTCATACAGAGACCCCAAATTCACGAGTAAGTTTTGGAAGGAGCTCATGGGACTGTTGGGGACAAAGCTTGCAATGTCTTCAGCATACCACCCCCAGACTGACGGACAGACAGAGCGACTCAATCAAGTGGCTGGACAGTTACTACACACAGCTTGCAAGGACGACGTCAGCCACTGGGACACACAGTTACCAACCCTAGAGTTCGCTTACAACAACGCATCACATGCGGCCACAGGGAAAACTCCTTTCTTCCCGTGTTACGGACGGGAACCACTCACACCACAGCAGCCAACTACACCGGCACACGTCCAAGCCGCACATGACTTCGTCACCACCATGCAGCAGCTATGGGAGAAGACTCAGCAACGTCTCACCACAATGCAGAACTTCCAGAAGCAGTATGCCAATCGTCAGCGGCGTGATCACTCAGTAGCAGTCGGAGATCAGGTGCTTCTTGACACGCGCAACTTGAACCTGTCTCACCTTCCATCCAAACTCCGGCCTCGCTTCTGTGGTCCTTTTCTCGTTGAGGCACAGGTGACACCAGTTACATTCCGCTTGCACTTACCAGATACATGGAAGCTTCACAACGCTTTCCATGTCCAGCTACTGAAGCCCTACAAGGACCCCAACCAACAGTTCCAGGGACGGCAACTACCGCCACCACCACCCGTTCTCATACAGGATGAACCCGAGTACGAGATCGAGCGCGTTCTCTCTCATCGGCGCCGCGGTGGCAAGACTCTCGAGTTCCTGATACGCTGGAAGGGATACGACCCCACTGAGGACAGTTGGGTTGCAGAAGCTGATATGGGCAACGCACACCGTGCTCTCAAGGACTATCTTGTCAAGCAAGGTGTATCTCACGCCACCCTGCTTTGAGGGGGGGACGTGTGAGAGTACGACGGCTTATGCCAGCTATGCTTGCTTGCCTCTACTTTATCATGCTATTTCTAGCATAGGATAATCATATGCATGCATGAATTGCTTGATTTCATAGGCTAGGTGCTTTCCTATATTTTATTATAGTTATAGCACCGAGCTAGGTTGCGTGCACCGAATTCTGGCTTTTCGGTTGCCTCCGAATTGCCTTCTACCGAATTCGGTAAGGATCTGTTCGGGACGCTTCGCGACCCGCGGAACCTTCGCGTAACACCTGGTTACGGGGCCTTGTGTCGAGCCTATATATTGCCTCGTGTTGTACCCAGGTAGAATTCAATTCAATTCAATTTGAATCATCATTTCTGAGCTCGATCCCAGATCCTCACAGCATAAGAGCACGGCTAAAGTTACCTTCGGCCCAACCAGCTGCCGTGCAAAGCCTGGGAAGTTGCTGCTGTGGAATTTGGAGGAGGAGAAGAGAAGCTGCATCAAGGACTTAAGGTAGCTGCCCATCATCCCTTGGAATGGGAAACCGCCAGCAACGGCAACGGCAGCAGCAGTGGCTAAAGCAGCTGCGGGAGGAGAGGAGACAGCAACAACTGTTGGGGCCCTGGATGAAGTCAAGAAGGTGGAGCTGCCACAAGAGTCACATGGTGAGGTGCTTGCTGCTGTGGATGGGACAGCTGCATGGGCAAAGCTTTGATGTGAGAGCGGTGAGGCCGATTGTGAGACATGGCATGAGAGGCTATGCCATGTGAAATTTCCTATGCTACAGAAGTTGGTGAAGGATGTGAGCTTGAAGGGGTTGGAGGTGCCCTACATGCCTACGAAATTCACCAAGTTCCCTTTAAGCAGCAGGACTTGCCAAGGCCCCACTTGTGCTTGTGCACATGGATGTGGAGGGCCCTACGAGGCCCCCTTCCCTCATGGGCAACCGCTACTTCTTGACCGTCGTGGATGATCCCACGCGTGTGGTGTGGGTTTATCCTCTCAAGAGCAAGGGGGAGGTGGCAGCGGCTATTCTTAAGGAGTGGATGCTGAGAGCTCAAAGGGAGAGCAGACACAAGGTGAAAGAGATCCGCACTGGTGATGGGGGAGAGTTCATCGATGCTGATTTTGAGAAGGAGCTGAATCGGAAGGGAATCTAGCATCAGCTCACAGTGCCCTACAACCCACAGCAAAACGGCGTGGCTGAGCGGTTCAACCCGACCCTCTAGGAAGGTGCACGCACTCTCCTTGGACGTGCAGGGCTGCTGAATCCGTTTTGGGTGAAGGCACTGCGGCAGGTCACTCTTGTGAAGAACAGGGTGCTGGCGACCATGGGGGACAAGCAGTGGGTCCCCTAGACAAAGTGGTATGGGAGTGCTCCAATAGTCAACATGCTGAGAGCCTACGGCTGCATGGTGGTGTTTCATGTGCCTAAGGAGAAGAGGGAAAAGCTGAAAGCTTCTGGAAGATGGGGTGTGCATTTGGGGATTGCAAAGGACCACAAGGGCTGGCTGGTACGGGACTTGACCAGCCAGAGGTTGACTGTGTCAAGGGATGTGAAATTCCTTGAGTCCCTGTACTACAAGGAGAGGAAGCAGCAGCAGCAGCAGAAGCTTCCTACTACACCGCTCATTGTTAAGGCCGATGAGGTGCAGCGGCCTTATAGGCAAGTGGAGTTTTCTGTATCTGAGGAAGAGATCTCTGGGTTGACTAAGGATGGGGGAGAAGCTGAGGTGGAGTAGCATCAGCAGCAGCAGCCTTAGCAACAGCAAGATGCTCCATCACGGGCCCCACACCCGCTTGAGCGTTCTAGGAGGGATGTGCGCCCTCCTGCCAGGCTGACATATCCGAGTCGTGGCACGCCAAAGGTGGTACGGGCTGGGAGTGTGGCTGAGCAGTGTGATGAGGACGAGATAGCGTACTGCTACTAGGCAGCCATCCCTGAGCCCAAGACACCAGCTGAAGCGTTGAGCAGGCCGATGTCAAAAAGTGGAAGCATGATGTTAAGGAGGAGTATGAGATCTTTGTTTCAGCAGACAAAGGGAAATGACTTTGATGAGATCTTTGCTCCTATGAGGAAAAGGACTACACTGAGGTGATTTTGACGGCTGCAAACCGCGGATGGAGGATCAAGCAGATGGATATCACTACTATTCTCTTCAAAGGGATCATTCTGGAGGAGCTGTATATGCTACAGCCTAAGGAGTAGGCTGATGGGAGCGACAGGGTGTGCAGGCTGAAGGAGGCCATCTATGGCCTCGAACAAGCTCCTCGTGCATGGTACCACAAGCTAGAGGAGACATTGCTGCCTGGGAGATTCAAGAAGAGCGAGTGTGATCACAGCTTGTTCCTGCTGCAAAAGAAGGAGCAATTTGTCATGCTCCTCATGTATGTGGACGACATCTTTCTCTTCTCTGAGTTGTCTGCTATGATTGACCATGTGGAGGCGACGCTAGATATACAGTTCAAGTGTTCCAAGATGGGAGATGTGAAGTAGTACATTGGG